GCCCAGGACGTGTCCAGGGAAGTGTCTGTGCTTGGTTTTCTGGGCACAGTAGCTGCTGTACTCCAACACCACATCCTGAGCTTTGAGGTCTGAAACCACTAGGCCCCGTTCTTGGACAGTCAGGGTGGACAGCTGGGTCTGGCCCAGGAGAAGTCAGAAAACAAGACAGAGAAGAGGCCCAGTCAGCGCTCACTCGGTTCCTCCCTTGGATACACGGGGCAGAACTGCCTGTTCACCCCCTCCCCCGCAGGCCCATCTGGGGAGTCTGGGATAGCGACCCTCGTATAGAAGGGCGCACCTGGCCTGGGAACTCCCTGCAGACAAGACAAAGGCCACGAGGCCGCAGGAAGGAGGGCTTCCCGTTGCTGCGCTCACCCTGCCCCCGCCTCACCTGTGGATAGAGCTCTGGCCTTGGAGTCAAGAGGACCTGAGTTCAAATCCGGCCTGAGACACTTGACGCTTACTAGCTGTGTGACCCTGGGCAAATCACTTAACCCTGATTACCTCACCAAAAAAAAAAAAAAGGGCCAGTGACAAAAGCAGAAAGAAAGGGACACAGCTGAAAAGAGGTAGGTTGTCCCCAGTGGGCCGGGGCGGCTGCTGCTGAGAATGCTTGAGGGGCAGAGGGGGGACTGACTCCCTCCACCTCCCCCCATCCCTTCCCAGGGTGCCCCACCAGGCCTCTGTCTGAGCCGTGGCCGCAGCTGACAGGCCAGGAGCAGAACGGGGCCGAGGCGGGGGAGGGACGCGAGCCCCCAGGGGGCAGGGTCCGGCCAAGCGGCTCAGCCTCCCGCCCCCTGGGGGTCCGTGCCATGTCCTACCTTCTCCTGGAGAGTTTTGGAGGTCACTTTTTTGGGGTCTGACTTGGCCAGAGTCGCACCACCCATCTCGCAGGCCAGGGCAACGCAGATAAGAGGCAGGAGGCTCCTCATGGTGGGGGCTGCACCAAAGAACGTGGCCGGGCAGGGCCAGGCCAGGAGCTCTGCTAGATGAGGAGGAGGAGAGCGCACTCAGGCTTCGGGGCAACCTGCTGGGTGCTCTCTATTTTATGGGGTGCTTTGGTCCACTCTGAGCCAGCCCTGCCCAACAAGCACGGGAGGAAGACGTCCTGGGCCTCTGCCCAGCAGCCAGGGCTTGGGGTGGGCTCCAGAACCTGAGAGCCGCTGACAGCTGGGAACGAGGAGCCGGGCCAGGGAGCCGGCCACACAGAGCTCGCAGGGCAGCCTGCCCAGCTCTTGTCAGAGAGGAGAGGGAGCAAATGGGAGCTGGGGCTGAGCAGGCTGCCTGGGAGCCAAGCACGGAGGTCTCGGGCCACCAGGCCACCAGCTCTGACTCCCAGAAAAACTCCACAGTCAGGCTCAGGCCAAACCCACTGCGACTTCCCCAGCAAGGCATGCCAAAGTCCTGCAGAAAGGATGGTGGCCAGAGGAAGTCCCGGACTGATCCAGACAATCCCTCCTCCAGTCACTGTGGGACCCACCCCCGGCCCAGAAAGGGCAGAGGCTGGGGCAGCTCACCCAGAAGCATTTCTCAGGCACCTGTTCCTAGGGGCCAGGCACTGGGCCCAGCTCAGCTCTCCTTGGCACAGAGGGGAGCGCTGCAGGGCAGTGAGGCCAGCCCCTTTGGTACACCATGCCGCCCACCCCAAGGCAGAGTAACGTGTCGAGTCTCAAGAACTGAGGCCCCCCACCTGCTGGGTCCCACCAATACAATGCTCTCTCATAGGACAAATCCAATACACCTGAGAAAGACGACATGCCGCTGGTCAGGGAAGGCAGCGCTAAGTTGCCCTCCAAACAGCCAAGGAAAAGCCCAGCTGCCAAGACGCCAGGGGCCCTAAAGTGGATTCACCCCCTGAAAGGCCAACAGACTATAAAGCCCCGGGCCCTAAAGGGGCTCCATCTGCCCAGCCCTGCCAAAAAACCCAACGGGCCAAGAAGTCCAGGACCCCAAGGGGGCCTCTGCCCCCCCCAAAACACCAAGAGGCTGTGGGGCCCCAGCCTAGGGGGGCTCCACCAGCCCTGCCCCCCCCAAACCCAACAGGCCAAGAAGCCCCGGGCCTCAAAGGGGCCTCTGCCCTCGCCCCCCTCAAAAATTGACCAGGTGATGGAGCCTGGGGCCCTAGAGCCCCTGCCCTGTGATGCTCAAAAAGGAGCAGGGCGAGAGAGGATCAATCTGAGAACATGGCATTAAAAAGCATGAGAAGGTCCTTCCTGGGGCCCCAGAGAGCGCCAAAATGGGCAAGTCCCTGCCTTTCTGTCCCAAGGGAGGACCTCCGATAAAGGACAGTAGAGGAATTTGGCACGTCCTACCCGGGGGCTTCAAGCAGTGCTGGAGGAAGCCAGAAGAGGGCGGGCCTGCCCTCTGAGCGCCTGAGGCGCCGCCTGGTGTGGCCAGCTCTGACCATCTGCACCCACTGCCCTTGGCACCTTCTTGTCCACCTTCACATTATTCAGCCTTTTCCGGGTTCTCATCTTTCTCACCCTCCAGCCACCATACAAGTACAAAGAACTGAGGCACTCCCCGCCCACAGGGAGCTGGGAGTTTGCAGTCAGATGCCCCAGTGCAGAATGCTCTTGGCCTGGAGTCACCAAGACTCGAGCTCAAATCCAGCCTCAGACACTTCCTAGTTGTGTGATCCTGGGAAAGTCACTTAACCACCATCTGCCTCAGTTTCCTTATCAGTAAAAAGCGGATCATAATAGCACAGACCTCCCAGGGTTGCTGGAGAATCACGTGAGATTCCATTAGTAAATCACAGTCCAGTACCAGGCATATGGTAGGTGCTCCATAAATGCTTGTTCCCCTCCCTGGGACACAGCTCAATCTTGAGCAGAAATACAAGGTAAATCAACCCAGGCACAGCGGGGGCCTTCCCAAGCTGAGCCCTGCTCTGGGCCCATCTCCTCCACCCGCCACAGGCCAAACCGAGCACGGGGGCGCCCAGCGGCCGGGCCTCCCCGTGGGCCTTGGGCCACACGTGTCCCCTCGCCCCCCTCCCCCCCACACAACCCTCCCCTGCCCGCTGGCAGCGGTACAGGGACTCCGAAGGGGCCAGAGGAAGGAAGGGCTGGGGGCTGAAGACAACGTCACAACCGAGAAGGTCGAGAAGGTCGAAGGGGCAACCTCAAGGGCTGCTTCAGGATAAGCAATAACAATAGCTGGCATTTGTGGCACTGTGCGAAGAATTTTGTCTCCTTAGATTATCATCACAATGACCCCGGAAGACAGGTGCTGCCATCAGGCCCATTTTACAGATGGGGAGGGTTAAGTGACTTGGCCAGGGCCACACATCTACAATCACACACAGAGTCATCTGGCTTCCTCACCAGAGGTCACAGAAAGGGCCGGGGCGGGGCCAAGAAGACTGGGGAGCCCCCCCCCCCCAGCGTCTCCACGTGCTCCTGGGGACACCGGGGAGGAAGGTCCAGCCCTGCCCCCTCCACGCCGCCCCCCAGGGGTGAAAGACGAGGGGAGGGAAGGGAAGGAGCATCTACTTGGCGCCTACTACGTGCCAGGCACGGGGCTAAGCGCGTGCCGCTGCTGTCCCTGCTTTACAGAGGGGGAAACTGAGGCAGGCTGTGAACTCGGGTCTCCTCTCCACTGCGGCGCCCCTTGTCGGCTTAGACGCTTGGAGATCCCACTTGGGGTGGGGGAAGGGGGCCCCCGGCACCCTCTGCCCGCCCCCCCGGGGCCCTCTAGCCCTTCCTTTTACGGATGGGAGAACTGAGGCAGGCGGCGGCGGGAGGGGGCAGGGTGCCCACAGCCCGTCCTGCTCCTCTGGCCGCTGGGCCTCGGCGCCGCCTCAGTTTCCCCGCCAGTCACTGTGCAGGGGGAGGCTCACCTTGGGGGCAGGGGGGTGGCTCCCGAACGGGTCGCCTGGAGACAGCCGGAAGTTGCTGGTGCCGGCCAGGAAGTCCCGCCCCACGTGGGCCGCACGCGAGCCGCCGCAGAACCACCGGCCCCAGCGCGGGGGGCGGGGCCGTGGAGGGCGACGCCGTGACGTCACGGGCGAGGAGGGGAGGGGAGGGGTCATCGGGAGGGCGCGCACAGTTAAAGGGGCAGATCATTTCGTCTGTCGCCGGATCTTTTTCCTCCCGATCTCGGGTGGACCCCAGGGCCGGGGGTGCGCCCTAAGGCCGGGGGTGCCCC